TGAATACTGTAGCTAAGTAAAACTTTAGAATCCCCTTCCAAAAAAGTTTTTGGAAAGCCCAAATTAGTAAGTTCCAAATCTTTGTCACAGGTGACTACCAGTGTGAAGAAACTGGCTGGTTAACTGTGGTCCATACGGTCGTTTGTCTGTGTCCCTAGTGATGAGAAGTTTCTGCCCCTAACCTTTCAATGAAACAAGTATACACACAGCTCTCATTTTCCCTTTCTATTGCTGAAACATTAGTCAGAGGGACACATGCATGTTATTAAAAATTAAGTTCAAAACACTTAAAATAATTCTGTATTAGAAACTTTACTCTATCATAAGTCTCTTCTTTTTAGAAGTCATACTGGGCTGGTTAAATGCTCCAATTCCATTGTTATTAACATTTAGGAAGCAGAAGAATATTCATTCCAGTTAGTTCAAACTGGGGGTCTAGTTACTACAACACTGACTCCTGGTCGGTTGTGTGGATTCAGTAAGGTCTACTCCTCTTCCTCTGGCAGAATTTGCTCCTGGATTCTGTGGTTCATTCTTAGGCAATTTTTTAGCTATTGCCATGAATATTTCATTTACATTCACTGATGTTTTAGCTGACGTCTCCATGAATAATAAACTGTTGTCATCTGCATAGGACTGTGCTTCCTGGAAGTCTACAGCTCTTTTATTTGCTAGGTCAGCCTTGTTTCCTGATAAAGCTATTACAATGTTAGGACTTGCTTGCCTCTGAAGTTCTTTAACCCAATTTTTTGCTCTTGCAAAGGACTCCTCATTTGTGACATCATACACAACTATGGCAGCTTGCTTTCCTCTGTAATACATTGGGGCTAGGCTATGGTATCGTTCTTGGCCAGCTGTATCCCAGATTTCAAACTTTACTGTAGTGTCATCAAGACACACAGTTTGGGTTAGAAAAGCAGCCCCAATGGTACTCTCTTGAAATTCATGAAACTTGGCCTTTCACAAAGCGAAGCACCAGGCTCGACTTACCGACAGCGGACTCGCCCAGAAACACTAGTTTGAACTGGCATATCTTATTTCCAGTATTGGGCCCGTTGGGTCTCGTTGCTCCTCGACTAACCATGTCCAAATCTGAAAGAAGTCCCTGATTTCAGACTCTTAACGGACTTCCAGAATGCAAGATGCCAATTTTTCTTCTTTCTGGAGGTAAAGCAACCTCCATCGCGGACTCAGTCGCTTCAGCCCGATTTCCCGCAGCCGAGCGAGATGAGAGTGATCTCCGCGGACGAAGGCGAGCCGGACTCGTCCTGGCGCCGTAGTGAGAACCGCCGCTGCTGGAGAAACAACACCGCTAGGAGCACCTCCACACGGGACCGGTGCCGCTGCTACTCGGGGTCATGGTTTCTTATCCAGTTTGCCATTCTGTCTCTTTTCACCGGTGCATTTAGTTCATTCACATTCAGGCTGATTATTAAAATGTGATTGTTTATCGTTGTCATGAGGTTCTTATAAAATTTTTTCTTTGCTTGTTTTCTTTTGACTTTGGGGTTGATATATGTGTGTGTTTTCAAGTTTCTTGTTGTGCTGTATTCTCTGTTGATTCTGTGCTCTGCTGTTCTCTTGGGAAGTGTGTGGTCATTCTTTTTTTTTTCTTTCTTCTGTGCTTAATACCTTTTTAAGTGTCTCCTGTAGAATTGGTTGGGAAACTGCATAATCTCTTAGGGATTGGATGTCTCCATCACTGATGAAGTTGAGCTTGGCTGGGTAGGAAATTCTTGGTTGAAATTGTTTATCTTTGAGGACTTTGAATATAGGGCTCCAGTCCCTTCTTGCATGTAGTGTTTCTGCTGATAGGTCTGCTGCTATTCTGATTGGTTTGCCCTGGTAGGTAGTTTGACCTTTCTCTCTTGCTGCCTTTAGGACCTTTTCTTTTGTGCCTACTTTGTGTAGGCAAATTATTATGTGTCTAGGGGTTGGTCTTCTCATTTGATATTTTGTGGGGGTTCTCTGTATCTCTTATGCTTGACTGATCACATCTCTGGTAAGATGGGGAAAGTAGCTCCAAGTTGTTCTCCATTTCCCTTTCTTCTTCTGGGTTGCAAATCAGGTATAGGTTTGGCCTCTTGACATAATTGCACATCTCTTATAAGCTTTGTTCTTTCTTCTGAGTCTCCTTTCTATGTTTTTTTTTTACAGATCTGGTTAATTTAATGTTCTGGTCTTCAGGTTCTGAGATTCTTTCTTCAGCTTGATTAATTCTGCTTTCCATGCTTGTCATCTTGTTATTTATTTCCTGGATGAAATTTTTTATTGCCAAAATCTCTGTTACAAGTTCTTTCAGTGTTGCATCTTGTCTTTCTTGAGTCTTATTCACTCTTTCCATCCATTCCCGAATCCCTGTCATATTCTGGGGCCAGTCTTGTTGACTTCCATTGTTTGGGCACCAAGGTCTGATTTTCAGGAGTTTTGTCTTTGGTACACTTGAAATTGCCTGAGGTCTTCCTTTCATTTTTCCTCATTTGTGACAGATCTCTTGTTTTTCTCTTTTGCTCTGTTATTCAGTATCAGTGGGAGAGTCTTTCCCTGCTGATGCTTGCTCAGTCCTCTATTCTTCCCTGATCCCGTCTCTGGGTTTGTTCTATTTTGAAATAAGTTGGTGAATGGGAAGCTTTGCTGTCTCTTTTAGTTTTTGAAATTTGAATAAAGTAGGGGCTGGGGGGCTACGATTCAGAAACTACTTGCAAATTACAATGTTCACTTATGTGGTATGTGTTCCCTGAAACCCACACCCCACCACCACTCTGTATGATGATGCAAAGCAGAAACCAATGCAAAAAACAATTGAACACACACACACACACACACACACACACACACACACACACACACACACACGCTCCTACCACAAAGTGAATAGAGAAGAAAAACAGAAAGACTGGGGACGGGGTGGGGGAGGAATTCAGGTCAAACCCTCACACATGTATTGACACACACTTTAAACTTTAATAAATGAAAATTAAAAAACTCAGAAGAACAAAAGAGCAAAAACAAACCAAAACAACAGCAAAATTGAAAGATCAACACTCAATCATTCACATATACACATAAACAGAAAACGACAAATAAAAGAAGAAAGAAACAGAAAAAGAAAAGAAAAAAGTTTTGGGGGATGTAGATCAAACCCTCACATACACATTTATGCACAAAGGAAAAATATTTTAAAAATAGAGGAACTAACAAACAAACAGTCAAAAAATTTTAAAAAATTAAAAAAAAATTGAAAATTAAAAAATAAAAAACCTGCCATCTTGTGGCAGGCTCTGTAATTGTTCCCCTGATTAGGTCTTTCCTGCAGAGCCACCTCTTTCACTCTCTCCTCAGTGTCCGAAGCAGAGAAGGAGGAGGGGCAGTGGAGGTGGGTGGGGCAGCAGTCCCCCCCCCACTTTTGTATGATCAGGGAGATCTCCTCTGGTGGGGAGTTATGGGATTATCTCTTCCCCAGGTATGTACGCATGTGGGGGAAGGGAAAGGGGGAGGAGGAGGTGGGGTGCCCCAGCCAGGCCTATCCTGGAATGGAGTTCTCCTATTGTGACCGATGTCCAGGCTCCACCTGGGTTTGTCCCTCTTAGTCGTGGCCCAGCTGTGTGGGTCTGATGTTCAGAGGATTGCTGGGGAGGAGGGGGTTTGGGTCAGCCCCAGACTCACCACTGGTCTCTTTGGAGTTTTTTTTCATCCTTTTCTGGCCACACCGTTTGTCCTGCGACTGGATCAGGGTAGGGGGTGGTACGCCTGGAACCCAGCACTTGTCAGGCCCCTCTGAAGTTTGTGATTTCAGGATATTCCCTCTGGGTCACAATCAATCCTTGAGTTGTTGACTGCCAGTCACAGAGATCGGGTCTGTTGTTCTGTGGTGAGCAAGTTGGAGTACTTTCCTGCCCACCTTCAAGATGGTGGTGGGGTGCCTCTTTTGTCCTATTTCCTGGAAGTTTGCCTCTGGACTTCCTCCACAGACCCTGCTGCCAGTGCCCTCTCAGGTGCTGAAGTGGTTAGGCAAAGCCAGGAGCTGGCAGTCTCTCTCCTGCTGTGATGGTGAGGGAGAGCCTGGGACGATGGTTTTTCCTTGCCACTTTTTCACAGGAAAACTTTTGTCCATTAAAAAAAAAATGGTGCTCGGTTTCTGCGACCTGGGAAGAACCAGGGACGAAACAGAGAAGCTGCAACACCAGGGGGCTGGCCACTTGCTCACGAGCCCCCACTTAGACATTCTCTCCCAGCATTTTCTTCCCAGGGAGGGTTTGTTGACTTAAAAAAAAAAGAAAAAGGAGCCGGGCTCGGTGGCTCAGCCTGTAATCCTGCGCCTTTGGGAGGCTGAGGTGAGTGGATTGCCTGAGCCCGTGGGTTCGAGACCCGCCTGGGCAGCAAGACCTCATCTCTACAATAAATCAAAAAATCAGCTGGGCATGGTAGCGCGCGCCTGTAATTCCGGCTACTTGGAAAGCTGAGGCGGAAGGATCGCCAGAGCCCAGCAGGTCGAGGCTGTGGTGGCCGGGAGCGGCCACTGCACTCCAGTCTGGGCGACAGAGTGAGACTCCAACTCAAAAAAAAAAAAAAAAAAAGAAAAAGAAAATGGCACTTGGCTTCTGGATCCTGGGAGTTGCTATGGTCCAAGCCCAGCAGCTGTGGCACCAGCCGCTGTACCAGGAGAGCCCTGGCTGCTAGCTCCCTAGCCCTCACTCAGTCAGCCACTCACACGCCCATTTGCTCATCAGCATGTACATAAAATTTTCCATACACTCACACACATGGGGAATCACATAGTCCTACTGGCTCAGCTGTCATCTTCCCAACCCTCCCTCACTCCCAAGTATTTCCAATTCTCCAGTAGAACTATGACATGAATCACAGATGCAAACCATGTATGTACTTTCACACTTTCTAGTAGCTGTATCAAAAGATACAAACTAAATAAGTGAAATTGATTTTGACATTATATTTTATTTAACCTGATATATCCCAAATCTAGCAAGAAATATAAAATGTTAATGAGATATTTTGCGTTATTCTTGAAGCTGTCATTAAATCCAAAGTGTATTTTATACTTTTTTTGTCCATCTCAATTTGGACAAGCCACATTTAAAGTACTCAATAGACATGTGGATAGTAGCTACTGGATTGGACAGTGCAGCTTGAAGACGTGGACTCTTCTGGCTCACTCAGATGAGGGTTCCATGCATGAAACACTCCACATGCACACTAGATCAGAGGAAATCATGCCAGATTTCTTTTGGAGGATGGTAGTATTCAGAAAGGTATTCTAGAAGCATGTGAATAATGACATGAACTCTTTCTAGATCTCAAATTTCATTTTTCAAAAAAATTTCTATTTTACTTTATCCAAAAACATTGGCCTTTATTTTATTTTAATTAATTAATTTATTTTGAGTTGGAGTCTTACTCTGTCACCTAGACTGGAGTGTAGTGGCAAGCTCATGGCCACTGCAGCCTCGACCTGCTGGGCTTAGGCGATTCTTCCACCTCAGCCTTCCAAGTAGATGGAACTGCAGACATGTGCTACCATGCCCAGCTTATGACCTTTATTTTAAAAAAGAATCAGTAACCATAGCTTATTAAAGGTTGTGGTATATATGAATTGTGGGGTCCATGTAGTTCTCTGTGCACTAGCTGCAGTTACAACCTGTTCTCTTATGCCTCAGAAATCATAGCAGAATGCAAACAAGCAATGGTATCATTCTTATTGGGGTTATCATAAATCCACTTTAGTTATCAGAAAAGTAAATAATCTGGGAATGCTGCACTTTATTAAAAGGAACAAGTTAGCTATAACACACCTTGCAACTACCAAAATGCTGTTGTTGACCTGGGTTCCAGGGACACCCATGAGATGTCTGTGTGTCTGCACACTGAAATCACTTGGGGGATTTTTAAAAAAATGGTGGTGACTGTGTCCCCATCCAAGATATTCTGATTTCAGTAGCTCGGGATGTGGCTTGGGCATCGGAATTTTTAAAAGACTCCCCAGGTGAGTGTAATATATTGCAAAGTTTGAGAGCCACTGTTATAAATAAATGTAAGTTTCCTTCCCTCATTTCTTTCTGATTCCAC